AAGCTTTATTCTGACCGATTCACCCGATTTCCGATCCGAATCGCCGATTTGACGATCTGGATCGGTTTTGTGGAAGCCCGATCCGGGTCACCGATCCGTTTTATAAACCATTGGGCGTCACCATTGGTGCCACCCAGCCCAACTAAAATGGTAGTTTCTGCCTGCCAACCACTCCCTGACCATTTCTGTGCAGATTCATTGAATCTGGACTGTTTTGGTATGCCGACCCCAAAACAACAATTCAACTTAGAAAATCCGTTTGAAATTGGTAGTTACCTACTCTAGCCGATTTTCAGCCTTTAAAAGATCAGTTTAGGATCATTTCGAGGGGGAGACTTTTAGCTTGTGTGCCTAGAGAAAACTTTGAGATTGTGGGACCTACGAAAAACCTAGACCTAGAAAAACCTTAGCTTTAGGCCACCAACAACCCTTAGATTAAGAGATCCATCCAACCAAGCCAGGGCCTGATCAAAACGTAAAGAGAAACAAAGAGGATGCATGGCATAAACTCAACCGGTCCTGATACGGTCGAGGCCTAGAGAGCCCCTGGCCAACCAGCTCGGTTTGATACATTTTTACTCTTTCTTGTGCTTCTTTTTATTTTTGTGTATTTTGTTAGGATTAAATTAGTTTTATTGCATTTTACGTAGTATTTCACATTTTGGATCGATGTTGTCACTACCACTGATCTAAGAGCAGATCCGCTTATTTTTTAATAGATTTGGCCTTCATATTAGAATTCGATTGACCCCACTCTATCATTCACTTTCAAAATTAATTTGTAGTTCGGATCTCATCATGAGATCGTCCCGATCTACATCATAACCATCCATTATTTCTTTATTTTTGTAGAAATATTTATTTGGTTTCACAACCATTATTTCCTTGGTGATTTTTCTAGAGAGGTAAATAAATGGGAAATGGTTCAAAGAGGACATCTCGTTTCCATTGGAGATGGAAATGGTTTTTGCATCAAAAGGTAGGCCGTTCTAAATGACCTTTCCACTGTCCAGTATAGTATAGTTATTGCATGTTAATCATGAACAAAGTTATTTGCAACGATATAAATGTCAAACGGGTATTGAAAAAATATAAAAAGTGCAGCCAGTCCCCTTTCCAGCCGGTTTTCTAATGTCGAACAGGTGGGGCAGTTTGGTAAAAAAAACGAAAAGGCCTCTCCCAAAGGAATGGTTGATGTAATTTTTGTGAAAGTGTGACCATCTAGTAATAAAAGGCAGGAAAGGGCCCTACCTAATTTTCCTAGCAAAACGGGGGGATCGGTAAGTTTTTTGAAAAAATTATGTATGGTCCCATTTTTTTGCCTTTTATTACTAGATGGATGGGTCGCATTTTCGCAAAAAATATGTCGAACACCCATGAAACATATAGAGAAAGCAAAATTCAATGTTAGAAGCTTAAGAAATAAAAGCAAATACTCTCTCTACACATATGTACATGTGGTGAGGCTGAAATGAAATAAAACCTGGAGTTTGCATCTCTATAATAGAATCGTTCTTTACTTACCTTCTTAGCCATTGTAATAGTGTAAAATCTCTCCCTCTCTAAGATCTCATTGCAACTACGATGGAGATCGAAAAAACTAACTCAGGGATTTCACTGCAACTATGATGGAGACTAAAAAAATTCCGCTATTATCACTATTTAAGTATTTATATTTATGACAATATTATCATTACCTGCTATTGGGTGCACTCCTTGGTTCCTCTCTCTCTCATTCACCTTCACACCCACCTGCGGCACATAACAACCTCACTATGAAACACCCTTTCGTATTTTTTCTCTCTAAAACCTTACTGCTGATCTTGCTCTCTCTCTAACATCTGATTACTATTATTCCTCTTTAACACCTTAGTAATCTCTCTCTCAATTTTACTTTCATTTCTCTTTAACTTAGTAATCTCTCTCTCTCTTCGTTTTAAAGCACTAATTGTTCTCTCTGCGAAAGAGTCCCGAAAAAAAAAAGAGAATTGGTTTTTTTTTAATCAAAATCTAGTTTAGATGTCAAAACCACAAAGCACCACAGGTAAGTTACAACAGCCCGTTACTCCATGCATCCAAATTCTTCTTTAGCCCAAAACGTAAAGAAATTTAGGCGTTTCCCCAATGTCCAATATAGCTCTTGCCAAACAACTATGGAAGAAGTCATGTCTGGCAATGAAAATGCCAGAAAAGTGATAAAAAACACAAAATGACAACAATATACAGCAAGTCTCCATATCTGGTGTTAGCAATGTGTTAAATTAAGGAAAAAAGAAAAGGCCAACCCTATAGGGGTGTGTTCGACATAATTTTCATGAAAATCTATTTATCTAGTAACAGAAGGCGGGAAATGGGGCAATACATAATTTTTTCCATCATATGTATATACCATAGTTACTGGGAGCGCTATCTTAGGGCAGCGCCCCTGCACCGAAATTTCGCTCCGACATTCTAAAGCCACGATCTCGCCCAAAATCCGTTCTCATATGTTTGGGATCTCACTATTATTTTTATAATTGTCGATTCTATTTACAACGGAGCTCACTCCGAATACTGCACAGAATACGTTTCTCAAATTTTAGTATCTTGTTCATGAATAAATTAAATCCCTACTCCTAAATTTTAAGAGCACGATCCCTATATATCCAAAACTCCATACCGATTTTCTCAAAACATCCTAAAAGAAATAAATAAAATTAAATTTTCAAATAAAATAATTATATTTTAAATCAAATTTTCATAAAAATAGAGTTGTGCGATTGGAACGTTGACTAATCATGCACAGAATGCAGCCTTTCTTCTTCTTCGAATGCAGCTCGATTCTTTCCAAATAGAAATGCGATCATTCTTAAATTTGGGGACGATCGTGTTGTTAATGGGATATGATCCTAAAGAATATGGGAACCTCATCCCATTTGATATGAAAAACGTTCCCGTTAAATAGAGATCTCGATCCCAATGTATTGAGATCACGCTTCCTGTTCATACGAGATCTCGATCCGCTACTTTTACCCTCACATGAACTTGCTCCCCGACCTTGGGAGCTTTGAGCAGATGTCGCTCTGACGCTCATGCTCCCAAAACCGGAGCCTTTCACCCTCCCGCTCCCGCTAACTATGGTATATACTTGTGTTTGTGAGAGAGAAAAATAGTTGCATAGTCAAAGGGCTAGGCCTAGGCTAGGCCAGCCTAGGGCAGATAAAATTAAAGAAAAACAATACAACAAAAATGAAGGAATAAGAGCTGGGCGTGGCTGAACCAGGCCAGACATATTTTGACCTGGCCCTGGGCGTGGCCCAAGGTTTTTAGGGTCGGGAGCCACCCACACATGGTCACCCCAATCCACAGTAGGCGAAGTAGAGAGACAGAACGCAAGAAAGAGAGATTAAAGGAGAATACAAATAATAATAGAGGGGTAAGAAAGCGAGATTCGAAATAACAGAGAGAGGGGGGAGAGAGGCAAAAGGAAGAGGGCCCACACAAATCCAGGACGCTCTTAGTTTAGGATGAGATGGGGGAGAAAAAATGAACCAATGTCACTAAAAAAATATCGCGTACCCAAAAACGTTGGAACAGAATTTACAGGAGATCCACATCACACATCAACCATGCAGCAGCAGCAGCAGCATATGACTCCACTTGTTCACACACATTCATTCACGAGACACCTTCCTCGCTTTCTCCTTATTAAAGCCAAGAAAATACCTCCTCTCTCTCATCACCCATCATCTTCCCCGTTTCCCAATCCCAATCCCAATCCCAATCCCAATCCCAATCCCAACCCCAACCCAAATCCCCATCAAAACTCCACATATCACATTCCTTCTGGTTCAAACCCAACATTTTACGCACTCTCTCTGTGTCTTCACTCACTACACGTAACTCTCTCTCCTCACTCAACTCCAAAGTTTCATTGCACAAATCCAGCAGACTCTCTCCCTCATCACCTGACACCATCATCTCACCTTCTCTCTCTACATCTCCAACAAGCCCCAATCCCAAACTTTCACTCAAGATGGCACTCTCTCTCTCCACAACCCCCATCTCTCTGCATCTCTCCTCATTTTGACCATGCTTTACCATACCCATCTCTCTGTTTGCGCCTTCAATGTCTTTAAGGCCCTCATCACTCTTTGTAAGCAGAGTGCTGTTTTTTCGCCCTTCGTAACTGGGATCTCTGACCCCTCTTTCCTCATTTTCACCTGAGACAAAACCGTTCAACCCCTCTTTCTCTCTCCTCTCTCTAAAATCACCCACTTTGGACCTTGTACCAACTTTGTTTCCCCTGCCACCTTTCCTCTTCCCCCCACCATTAAACTTCTTGCCATGAAACAATACAGGAACACTAGCATTCAGCCTCCTCCATGTGTCAACTCTCCTACTGAGGTGAGAGTTCCAATAGTTCTTTATTTCATTATCAGTCCGCCCAGGTAAATACGCTGCTATCAAAGACCACCTGCAGCAAGGACAAAACCCACTTTTTTTAGAGAGAGAAAAGGAAAGACATAGAGAGAAAGCTTAGAAAGAGAGACAGAGGGAGGAAGGGTATTTCGATCTTTACCTGTTGCCTAAAGAGGCATGAAGTTTAATGATAACGTCTTCTTCTTCTTTTGTTATGTTCCCTCTTTTAAGATCAGATCTCAGGTAATTAATCCACCTCAACCTGCAACTCTTTCCGCATCTCAATAGACCTGAAATGAAGAGAGAACAGGTCTTAAAAGTTAAAGGGTGCGGTTCAACCTTAAACAATCCAATTAAGGCGCACCTCCAAAAATTTTATCTGTACATTAAGTAAACAAAAATCTTAAGATTATCTCAAAATCTATTTTCAATCTAATTATAAAATTTTAAACTTAAAAAATACTTAAAATAAAGTAGATCTATAAACATTTGAAAATATTAAAAATAGAGGGTCCAGATAATGTATCGTAAAATGAATTATTCTTAAGACTCAAATTTTTTTCCATATTCATATATCTCCATATCGAGATGATCAATTAGAGATTTTTTCAACATCAAACCAACCTTTTTTTAATAACCTTTTGAGGTGTATAAATCTGCATTTTAAGGTTGCAACCTTATATAATTTTTTTCTTTTCAAAGTTAAAACCCAAGTTAATAATGGACCAAACAAAGAGCCCGGCTCTGATTGTTAGTCTCAAACTCCATGGAAAATTTCATAGCATGTGTAACGTAAGGGCCTTGGAAGAGTCAACCAGCTCACCTTGACCACAAGTCATATAGAGAGAGAAAGAGAGAGAGAGGACCTGCATTTTTTGGTAGAGAACGCCATGAGCCTTCGCCATTAGCTTGAATGTAATTGATCAAAATCTCGTCTTCCTCTGTCGTCCATCTCCCTTTCTTCAAGCCCACCTTCTCACAACAGGGTGCTCTCCCCATTGTTAAAAGGTCATTGAGAGAAGAGAAAGAGTGGAGAGAGAGTTTTTTATTGGGCAATGGAAAGCAGTCGAGTCAGCAGCTCCCTATGAAGCTAGAGAGAGAGGTGGACAAGTTGTTGGAAGTCCCCAGAAAAGAGAACCGCAGCTTCGTATCATCGGCTTGCGACCTCTTCAAATTAAAATGATTTATAGAGAGATAGATGAGAAATGAATGTTTTGACTGAGAGACAGAGCCATGAGAGTTAAAAATGTTGGGTCATGCCTGTGTAAAATGCGCTATCAAACAAGTGTGAAGATAGTAGGCAAGAGTTTCAATTTTTTTTGGAATTTCGTGACTGTCGTGACTCATTCTGAACCGTCCATTTTAAAATAAATCTTATTTTTGTATAAAATTATAAAAAGATCTAAAACGGCATTTTTTATACAACTTACATCCAATTTAACTTTTTTTACTTTTGTTTTTTCAAAATAAACATTTTATATAAATACTCCGAATGAAAAAAATTCATTTTTTTAAATATAAATATCTTTTTTTTACGTAAAAATAATTTTGAACAGATTTGACATTGATTTTTAAATCCAATAGAATATTGCCAAAGCGCATATTCACATTGTTGAAGCACACATATGCCAGACAGCCTTTTGTAATTATCGGACCGCCCTTTTTAATTGATGACTGCACTTTTTATAGTGTCGCCCCCGAAGTTTTACTGTCGAACTGCACTTTGCACAGTATTTAAAAAAAAAAGTGAGAACAAAATTAAATTGAGGTAAATTGTATGAAAAGTCTACTCTTTTGTTTTTTTTTTTTATTTTTTTTTTTAACTTTTATTTACTCATTTAAACCATTCAATTTGATTTCGAATAAAACTAGTTTTATAAGCTCTTTTACATAAAATAATGATCTCCTTATGAATAATTTCTTTTATTTATTTATATATATATATATATACATATACAAAAAGTAGGTCCACGATAATTTATGCTAGGGACCCGGTGTCCGTACTAGAGACAGGTACCCTATCGGCGTTTTGCCTCTACAAAATAAATGATCTTCAAGAGAGAGTGAAGGCGTGAAAGTTAATTGGCGGCTACATAGGGAGAAAGAGCTGTCGTAGAGTCGACGGTGAGGGATCCACACAATTAATCAACGCTAGAAAGAGATATTATGGAGGTTAGAGAGAGAGAGTGTGTTTTTATGGTGCCTGTGACGGAAGAGACTAGGGCTGGCCCTAGCAGCGAAGCCCGGGCCCGATAAACATAGGACCTGGGCCACATACAATCGCCAAAAGGGCCAGGCTAGGGCTAGGGCTATTGCCATCCTGGTTTGGCCTCTTTTAATTATTTTTTTCACTCTTTTTTAGCCTTCGCCCTATTAAGACCTGAGCGAACCCTATGGACTGAACCCAAGTCTGGGCACGACAAGTTAGACCGGAGCATAGGCCACGCGGCCATGGCCGGTGCTACCCTTAGGTGACAGAATGGCATGGAAGAGAGTGCGCACTAAATGTTGCTTGAGAGGGTGTGATTTGGAGAGAGCATTTTCCATGGGCTTGCGAGAGATTGCGTGAAGACATGCCCTTACCTATTTTTTCAAATACTTCAAGATTTAATTTTTTGAAAGTATTAGATGAATGGCATAAGTCAAAAAAAAAATCACGTAGTGATTAAGGCGTGAAGAGTACTACCACCACGACCCCCACCCCGTTTTGACGTGAAGCCGAACTCATTTTAAAAAACTATGGTTTGGGCTACAAAATAAGGTACGAAGATCGGTCCTCCTTGTGATTTTTAATTTTTAATCTATTAGTTTTGTTGAGACCCGACCTAGAGGCCCAAACTAGGCTCCAGAGCAGGCCCGTCCAGGCCCATGGTTTCCAGGTAGTTCATGCTTAAGACTGGAGAGTTCGAGAGAGAGAATACGTGGGCGTTAGGGAGAGAGAGAGAGCGTAATGCGCGGTAGCAGGGGTATGGGATGGGCGGCGAGGGGAAATACACGTACGAGAATTTAGAGAGAGAAAGAGAGATGGTCGTGGCTCACGCCCGCGCCAAGATAGAGCCACGGGCCTCAATTCCCCACGTTGCGTCCACGCCTACGGACGTACAATGCCTTCCCCGTTCCCCTCATTTAAGCATTCCATTTAATGCTCCCATCACCTATCTCTCTCTCCCTCTCCTTCTCCTTCTCCCTCTCTCCTTCGTGTCGTGTCAATTCCAAATCTGGAGTATGTAGTTAAATATGGGATATTTTTGCAATGCACAACTAATTTATTTCCGACCAGTAATTGACAAGATTCTCATTTTTTTACAGTAAAGAATAAGATCCAGTACATGCCAAGATTCTCATGTTTTACATAATATCCTCCGATGCAAAAATCGTCCAGATTTAACAGCAAACCGCGATTGAATAGGGCCGTTTTCGGTTTTGAACCGTTAGGGTGATCAATTAGTATTTTAAAAAAAAATTAAATAAATATATATAATTTTTTTAAAATAAAAAATTTAATTTGTAATGTATTTTTAAATATTCTTTACATTATGGTAAAGATTAAAAATTGTTTTGATCATTAATATTTAGTTTTTTAAAAATAGCTTTTAGAAAATATATAATGAGTTAAATCCATTTTTGTCATTAATTTTCGACGTCATTTGAATGTGTTTTGTTTTAATCATTCTTTATATGTTTTTCATATTTTAGTAGATTTAGTTATTTTATTTTTCTTCAACACTTTTTTGATCGTTCGGAACTTGTCTGATTAGTACAGTTGAATCGGCTGATTAAACCGCTTCCAGACCCATGTTCGGTTAATCGTTCCCGTTCGATTTTGCGAACATTAATATCCGTTCTCTCTTATGAACCAAAGGTCTGTTGATCCTTGTTCCTTATTGTAAAACAAATACTAGGAATAATAAATTTATTTTAAAAAACATTTTTTTTAGACAATATTTTTTTTAATGAAATTAGGTCATTGGTGAAATATTTTATTTAAATGATAAAAGTTAAAATGAGGCTAAAAGATTTCCCACTCCCATATAAGTATTCTAACTATTTACTCCCTTGTGTACCATACATGCTAGAAACACCTTTTGGATCTCAAATGTTAAGGATGTAATATGTATGACCCATAGACTAAATTTAAGAATAAAAAATTTCGAAATAAATTCCCTATGTACTAAAAATAAAATGACTCAATTGAACATAAACTGGTCAATTTTTGAAGAGCTAGATCTAAGCGTCACAAAACTAAAATTCAATTTTTTTTTTATTTGTTTATTTTTTTATTTTTTTGAAGATAATTGTAGCTTCCAAATGTTAAACTAAAATAATAAATCCAAATAGATGTTTTGCGTGAGGGAGTAGATCAGAGTACTCTCCAATAGAATCATAGTACACGTGGTCCAAAATGTAATAAACGTGACTTTTTATTTTGTAGTCATTTAGCAAAATAATGTCATTCAAACCGTTTACTTTTTTTTTTGACAAGGTCATATAATTTTTTTAATCTCTAGAGCGTACAAGCATGAATACATTCAAACCTTTTTACTTATTAAAACATCAAAACTATTATCCATCCTTATCTAAAATTTATGCATGTATTGTATAACAAAGACTCGAATAATAATTTTATTATAATTTTTTTAGACAAGTCCTTTTTTTAATAAAATTAGGTAATCGGTGAAATATTTTATTGAATGATAAAAGTTCAAATGAAGCTAAAAGATTTCCTACTCCCATTGGAGTATACTAACCATTTACACCCTTGAGTATAATACATGTTAGAAACACCTTTTAGATCTGAAATTCTGGGTTGTAATATGTATAACCCATAGACTAAGCTCAATATTTAACTTTGAAACACTTAGATATGAATGTTCAATACTTGGAGGATATACCCAAAGGAGCATGGATACTTGGTATGTAAATATATCATTGTAAACATTTTTTTTTTTTTACATAACCAATCACCAAATAGTGAATTACATATTTACCTAAACTTATGCGGTGTTTATAAATGCGAAAAAAAGTTTATATAAGGTTGCAACTTTATCTTATAAAAGTAAAGTGCAACATAAAAATCAAGTAGAAAAGTGTATTTTGAAGTTGGAAAAGCTTCCAATGATCCTCTCGACTTTGAGATGTACAAAAAAAACAAAGAATTTCAAGTCTTAAAAATAATGCATCTTGCAACGAGTTATTTACACCATCTATTTGCAATATTTTCAAATATTTATATGCTTTTTAGAATTTTAAATTTCATGGGATTTCCAAAACCATCATAAAGTTTTTACACCAAAATTTGCAAGCTCCGAACACAGTGATAGTAGCTTTTAGCAGGAGCGACTTAATCTCTCTCCCTCTCTCTCTTCCCCAACCCTCTTTCCCCTACCTGTAACGGCATGTAAATAATGCTTTCTACTTATGCTAGTTTCTGTATACGCCATTGCATTCCACAAAAATGCGTAGAAAATTCATGATGTTTGTATGCACACGCACATACAAAGAGAGAGAGAGAGAGAGAGAGCGTAATGATATGGTTTAAATATTACATGTAATTGGAGGAAGATAAATGGAAAAAGTTTATATAAGGTTGCAATTTTAAAATGTAGAATTAAAGGCGCACTTCAAAAATCGATCATAAATGATTGTTTGGATGCTGGAAAACCCTCTAATTGATCATTTCGATATCGAGATGTATGAATATGAAAAGAAAAAAGATTTTGAGTCTGTAAAATAGTGTGTCTTGCAACATATTATCTTGACTGTCTATTTTCAAGATTTTCATGTGTTTATAAATTTATTTGATTTGAACCATTTTTAGAATTAAAATTTTATAAATAGAGATGAAAATAGATTTTCAAATCATCCTAATAATTTTTTATGTCAAAATCATATTTATGATAGAATTTATAGATGCCCCTTATTTAGATTGTTTAAAGTTGCAACTTTATGCAAACCGCACCCATTTAATACACTTGTCGGCAGATCTATTAAAATAGTGTCCTTTCTATCCACTTTCTTTCTCTTCCCTCCCCTTTTATTTCCATTTTTGTCTTTCGTAATAATATTGTTCATTATGTATGTCACTCGACTCTTTGTCCAAATGTATCATAACTTTTTGCATGTTGATGTTGCAAATCTCAAATGCCCATCTAGTGAATTACAAATTTTGATCACGGTCACTGGGTTTTAAAACACTTGGCTGTACAGATAAAAGCAATGTTTTA